TGACAGATATAAGTGCATTGGAAAATAGTAATCGCGGTCCATAAAAAAGGGTAGTCACGGTGACGATTTGATTTATCTTCGTTCGGACCTACTCTTAACCATGTATTTTGTAGGAAGCATGTCTGAGCTTCCCGTCTATAGGGAGGCCTAACATCTATGGAAATAGCACTGCAAATTTCGTCTGCCATAAAGTCTCATCAGTGGTTGTGCTTCATTGCAAATTCCAAGCATATTGTGTTGCATACTTCCATTTAATGTAACTGCTTTTGTAAAGGCATCGAAACTCAATAGAAAAATACATAGTACTATGTCAGGAAACTAAAGTCCTTGTTCCAGTGATCGCATCTTCTTCTTCTGAACTGCTGCCTGTAACTCGTATATTCTCCCCAATTGGCACTACTCAGGTTGTTATTTTTAATTAGTAGGCGAACGAAAAGAAGCGCATTAAAAAGCCGTCACGCCGCCGAGTTTTCCATAATTAAATTTTTCCAAACACCAATTAATTAATTGTGCCTGATAGTCCTCTGGTGGACTCTAGATTGATTGATTAGGAAATCCTACTTTGACCGTCAGCACACTACACCGGAATTGGTGTACTTCATACCTCACAGTGGGTTGTGTGGGTAAGTTAACTCACAGATGAGTAAAAGTACCGATCCTCAGAGGGGCGTCGTAGCCCAGATGGTTTGAACCTTGTCTGCACTCAATCTTTGTTCTTGCTGTCGTGGGTTTGAGGCCGCAGAGCGTTACACGACGGGGTGGAGGAATGACTGTGTTATCTTCACTAATTGAGGCAAATGTTCGCATCCCAGGTATGTGTATACACAGAGAAGGAGGAGGCTGTTCGATCACCGGAATCATAATTTTATTCGTCTGAGCTTTCGGGGTCTTTCTGGAGTCCATCGCCAGAGGTAAAAGGCGTCAGCGAAAGGCAAGCAACAGTTACAGGAGGCAGGGGCCAGTCAACCGTTATAGGGAGGAGGGAGGCAATCGGCCACCAGTACCATCAGTCCGGAGATGCCTGCGCAGGCTTATGCATGCCGGCACCAGATCGATAAATCGATTGACTGAGTTCTCATCCGAGGCCCAGGCTTCAATCGATTCGCGACCTGTCTTGTTGCGGGAGTGCGCATGCCCCCCGTTTTTCTGCCTGATTAAGATGACGAATGGGAGCATGCAGCAGTTTGAGTTTTATTGGCATGTTCATGCATAGCAGCGAGGATCATAGTTTACTGATTATTATTTGCAGCAAACAATGACCCCTGCCGTTACGCATTGACATTCTATTAAAATTCAAACTGCAATACACTTCCATTCTTTATCTAAGTCCTGCAAAGACGGATTGAATTTGAAAGACACTCCTCTGTGAAAACTGGAAACGCTAGCGGGCGGTCATTCCTCTCCAAGCAATTTTCTTGATCGCCCCTTCCCACCCCCCTCCCTCGCCTTCAGTGATGTATATGAAACCGTTTACTTCAAACGTTTTTCACCGTGTGAACAGATCTCGAAAACTTTCATTCTATTCATAGGCCTGCGGAACGCAGCCTCCTCTGGTGGGATGGACATCTCCCAGCATTGTAATATGTTTTTTCGCCATCCTTACCTGCTTACCCGGTAGCAGTTTAAATATTCCATGGCTTGAAACGAACCTAGATCGCCTTTAGAGGTGAGACTTGGCTATAGATGCGTTGGAGAAGATCAGAGTTCACTGGCACACACCCGCCGTCAATAAAAGCACTTTTCTATGCACAGGCAAGTGTATTCTAGCTACCTAGCTAACTTACAGCACGGAGGGATAATGGTTTTGCGCGACAGTGTTTACCAGTTGTACTTGCTTCCTTTTCGGCCACAAACGATAAAATAATATTTCTAAGAGCGTGTAGGATCTTATGGCGGCAAATTTCAGTTTGTGAACCAAAAGGAACCTACTGAAGGGACGAGAATGATATGTGTTAATGAATTTATCAATCAGATTTTTTTTACCAAATACATAGTTGACTGAATAAGTGGCACTTTTCATGTCGGATAGTGCTGCAAAATATCTAACAGACCGGGACAAAAAACTGAACTCCCTCTTAAGTATCCTACCCCTTTGTCGTGGACTCTTAGAACATGCAAACGAGTTCTGTCGTGGTAGGGGGATTTTAATGCGATGTGATGGAGACACGCTTGTTCACATCTGCAAATAGTCTGAAGCAGGGTGCCAGTGATTCCCTGGGTGTCATTTACAAACCCCGAAACTGGCCACGCTACGCCTCGTGCCTGGAGATGGCCTGAGTTATTTAGAACCTCCGAAACCGGCTGCTCTGTGCATGCACTGAACCAAAAAGGGGGCCGAGTCACATTGTCTTGTGGCGCACATTAACTGAACACTGCTGAGTCCTCATGAGCCTCCTCTACTTAGCGCTGCACATAGGTGAATGGGGCATATTTGGCGGCATGCCTGGACATAGACTCCCATAAATTTTCAACCACTACGCCCACTTGTCGATAGAAGTTAGTAAACCAGCTCCGGAAGCGGTTCAGAGGAAGAAGATGCGATCGCTGAATCGGCCAGTCCTCTGCAG